GTAGTCGTAGTAGTAGAAGTAGTAGTGGTAGTAGTCGTCGTCGTAGTAGTAGTCGTTGTTGTAGTAGTCGCAGTAGTAGTAGCAATAGCAGTAGTAGCAGTAGTAGTAGTAGTAGTAGTAGTAGTAGTAGTAGTAGTAGTAGTAGTAGTAGTAGTAGTAGTAGTAGTAGTAGTAGTAGTAGTTAAGTAGTAGTAGTAGTAGTAGTAGTAGTAGTAGTAGTAGTAGTAGTAGTAGTAGTAGTAGTAGTAGTAGTAGTATGTAGTAGTAGTAGTAGTAGTAGTAGTAGTAGTAGTAGTAGTAGTAGTAGTAGTAGTAGTAGTAGTAGTAGTAGTAGTAGTAGTAGTAGTAGTCGTCGTAGTCGTAGTAGTAGTCGTCGCCGTAGTAGTAGTAGTAACGATAGGAGACGTTGTTAAGTAGTAGTAGTAGTAGTAGTAGTAGTAGTAGTAGTAGTAGTAGCAGTAGCAGTAGCAGTAGCAGTAGCAGTAGCAGTAGCAGTAGCAGTAGCAGTAGTAGTAGCAGTAGTCGTAGTAGTAGTAGTAGTAGTAGTAGTAGTAGTAGTAGTAGTAGTAGTAGTAGTAGTAGTAGTAGTAGTAGTAGTAGGTAGTAGTAAGTAGTAGTAGTAGTAGTAGTAGTTAGGAGTAGTAGTAGTATAGTAGTATTAGTAGTAGTAGTAGTAGTAGTAGTAGTAGTTAGTAGTAGTAGTAGTAGTAGTAGTAGTAGTAGTAGTAGTAGTAGTAGTAGTAGTAGTAGTAGTAGTAGTAGTAGTAGTAGTAGTAGTAGTAGTAGTAGTAGTAGTAGTAGTAGTAGTAGTAGTAGTAGTAGTAGTAGTAGTAGTAGTAGGAGTAGTAATACTTGGAGTAGTAGTAGCAGCAGTAGCAGTAGTATAACAAGAAGAAGAGGAATATTCAGTAGTCGCCGTAGTCGTAGCCGTAGCCGCAATCGTAGTCGCAGCCTGACTTTTGCCTATAATCAGTTTTCGCATTACTCGGCTGTAGACCCAGTAGCTTTAATGCCAGCGTTCGCTTCGGCACTTGTAATCCGTACCACCAGCATCACCAGCAGTCCCGCAGTGGTAGTAGATGGCCAGGGGGTGGACTGCTGGGTCCCTGGTGGAGAGCTGGTCGGGGCCTTCAGCCGCAAGGGTGTCCTTTTTGTTGTTCGATCCCGGCGTCTCTCATCGACCTCAGCGTCTTCTCCAGCACGGGGCGGCATGCAGCGCGGCGAGCAGGTTCACGGCGCGGCCGCGCAGGGCCTCGGGGGGGGGGTTCGCCAGGCCCGATGATCGAGGATCGAGGAGGATCGAGGATCGAGGAGGATCGAGGATCGACGAGGACCGAGGATCGACGAGGCTCGAGGATCGAGGAGGCTCGAGGATCGAGGAGGATCGAGGACCGCGGAGGATCGAGGATCGAGGAGGGCCGAGGATCGAGGAGGATCGAGGACCCAAAATCTCCGACGATGTGATTTGTTGAGTCCCCGCGCTCTCCCTCGAGCTCGGCCTCATTGGGGCCAGCTGTCGGGCCCTGAGGGAATCAGGAAGGGGCCCAGGGGGGAAGCTACTCTTAAGTCGGGCGTGTCCCTCTTCAGGAGGAATGTTCAAACATAGTAAAAATATTATTTTTTGTAATAGAACATGAATGCGATGCTTGCTTATTTTAGGGTATGTTATTCTTTTTCCTCACCCCTCCCACATCCGCCTGTCGGAGGACACGCCCGACCCAGAGCTACTCCTGGGGAGCTTCCCGAGGGGTAGGGTTTCAGGTTTTCGGATTCCGGATTTCAGGGTTCAGGGTTTCGAGTTTCGATGTGATGCTTGCAACGCGTGTCCCCACATGACCCGACCCTTTCAGGAGGTCGGACCCTGCTTCGGCGCGCATGGTAGACATCACATCGTCGGATGCTGGTGACTGTAATCTTGTCAGGGGTTCGTAGCACGGGCAGCAGCAGGAGCACGAGCAACCTGAAACACGGGTATGCGCTCCGCTGGCCACAGCACCAGCAAGTCCTTGTTCAACCCTTTTCCGTGGCACCCTCAGGGGGTCGAGGATTGAGGTTTGGAGGTGCGGGCACATTTTCTGCGCCAGATCCGCCTCAGAGTGCTGGTCAGAGCGCACTTCAGGACGCGTCTGAGGCTAGTTGCTTTGCTCCCCGACCCGGGCCACCTCGCGGTGGGCAGAGACCGAGACTGGATGCTCTTGGCCAGGGCTTGGCCTCTGGATGCTCCTGGCGGGCCCAGTGGCCGTCCAAAGACGATTCTGGATGAAGATGCTGGCCAGGGGAAGAAACCGTTGGGCGCCCTCGTTGCGGCACAAGTCACGGCGTTAGCGGTTGCGCCCCTTCCTCCCGTGCCCCCCTCCCCGTGTCCCGTCCCCCCCATTCACGCCGAGATCGCATGGCCCTCTGCGTTCACCACTTTACCCAGCCGTGTCGTCTGCGAGGAGAGACAGAGAGAGAGAGAGAGAGAGAGCGAGCGAGAGAGAGAGAGAGAGACAGAGAGAAGGAGAGACAACAATATATTAGTATTCATATCTATATATATATAGAGAGAGAGAGAGAGAGAGAGAAAGAGGGAGGGGCAGGGAGGGAGAAAGAGAGAGAGAGAGAGAAGTATAGAGCAACAGACAGAGTGAAAGAGCGAGGGAGAGAGAGAGAGAGAGAGTCTGCATTTGCACCCGCAGGCAGGGCCACGTGTATCTGTTGGTGCCGAGGACGTTGACATGCTGAAGAAGGACCCCAGGCGTTGCCCAGTCTCTGCTGTCCCAGGCCAAGGTGCATCCTGACGGCCACAGGTAAACAATGTGGAGGAGGATGAGGATGGCGAGGATAACGATGCACGACTATACAGAAATGACATCCAAGACTCTACGAGCGCAGTGGTGCCTTACACAGACGTCGAAGCGCCGTCCGAAGAGACAAACTCAAAGTCAGGCCCACTGAAGGTGGGCCATTGCTTGTCGAAACTTTGGGGCCCGTGCCTTGCCACGCCGATCCGAATATATGGCCGTGGGACCCTGGCACAGCCGGGAGCCCCCAGCAGCCCCAGCAAGCCCCCCACCAGCAGGGCCCGCCCAGGCTTCGAACCTGTGTCTGCCGGCGGGCGCACGAAGCGTCGGACGCCGGGCCAGCTGCGGGAGGGGCGCTCCAGAGGCGAGCGGGGGCCTCGGAGCGGCGGGCGCGCGGAGGAGGAGGGGAGAGTCAGAGCACGAAGCCCTTCCGGGGCCTTGAAAATACCCCAGGGTGTAGGCCGCGCCATCGGGGGACGAAATCTATACATATCCACTGCTCCCTGGCCAGGCCCATCCTGAACCCAGGAGCTGTGTATACGCCCTCCTGGCCAAACCAGGAGGGCGTGGCGTATACACAGCTGCTGTGTTCAGGATGGGCCTGGCCAGGGAGCAGTGGATATGTATAGATTGCGTCGCCCTAGCGCCAGTGCGCCGTGCCGGCCGCAGCCCCCTGGGGGGCAGAGTCCTCCGTCCAGGCTGGCGCCCGGCCAGCGCACTCGCCGCGCGGGGGCTCTCGGCGGGCCGCTGCGGCTCCACGCCCTCGATGTGGGCGGCGGGCGGTCTGAGGCCCGAGGGAGCCTCGGAGGCCTAGAGGTTGACACCGACACCAGAGGAGGAGGAGGAGGAGGAGGAGGAGGAGGAGGAGGAGGAGGAGGAGGAGGAGGAGGAGGAGGAGGAGGAGAAGGAGGAGAAGGAGGAGGCGATCGGGCTTCCCAGGTGGCCGAAGTACCACCACTGGCGCCAACATCCGGGCTCATCTTCCCCCCGTGGAGGCAGCCTCCTGTGTGTCGGTGCTGGTGCTCTGTCCCGGGCCTCCAAGAGCCCGCGCCGCGAGGGCCCCCTGCCGCCCGTCCCTCTGGCGGGGGTCTCCAGGCCCCCCCCCCCCCCCTACAGAGCCCCGAGTTATCAGGGCTGGGGGTGGTCAGGGGCAACTGTTTCTTCGTGCCTCGGGGGCCCAAACAGGAGTTACCACGGACCACTTAAAGTTATCCTGTCCAGTCCGGGCGTGCAACCACTCCCGAATCATCGGGGTTGGGCGCGGTCAGGGGCAATTCCTGTCTTGTGCGTCGTGGGCCTAAATTGGAGCTGCCCCAAACCGGAGCTATCTGAGATAATTCCGGCGTCCAACCCACGGCCCTCCGACAAACCGCCCCAATAGCCCGTCCTGGGGGGCCCCACTCCCCCCAGGCATGGCGAGGAGGGGGGTCGCAGAGAAGGAGGAGGAGGAGGAGGAGGAGGAGGAGGAGGAGAAGGAGGAGGAGGAGGAGGAGGACGAGGACGAGGACGAGGAGGAGGAGGAGGAGGAGGACAGGGAGCACGAGGAGACTGAGGAGGTCGCAGCTGGGAGGAGGAGGCGGAGCCAGAGTCGGAGCCGGAGGAGGAGGAGGAGGAGGAGGAGGAGGAGGAGGAGGAGGAGGAGGAGGAGGAGGAGGACGAAGACGTGCGGACGCGACGGACATCGGAGCGGTGTGCGGCGACGGAGCCGGCACGGACGGATTGGTCGGAGGCTGGGGGTGAGCGCAGCGAGCACGCACGAGGTTGTCCAGTGGGTTGTCCTATGAATTGTCCCGTGACCGTCCCGTGGGTTGTCCCGTGGGTTGTCCAGTGGGCTGTCCCGTGGGCTGTCCTGTGTTTGTTTGGTGGTTTCCCTGCGGTTGTCCTATGGTTTCATCTGGCGGTTGTCCCGTGGGTCGTCACATTGGTGATCCTGTCGTTGTCCAGAGTGTTGTCGCGCGGTTGTCCATGGGTGTGTCCTGTGCTTCAGCCGTGGGGTCAAATATCATATGTGTGTATATATATATATATATATATATATATATATGGTAGCCCCCCCCTGGGACCCCATCTTCACAAATGCAAGCCCGAGGGCTTTAAACGAAGAAGTTCGTTTATTTGTTGATGTACTAGGTGTTGACCATGTGTTGTTGCAAGAACGCTTGCAATCGATAGCATCAACATCAAGAACAACAAGACACCAACACACTCAAAAACAATAAGAACACCATACAATTGAAAGGTACCCGTCCTCATTAGGGACCTACCTCATTCTGCTGATTGTGTTGATTGTGTTGAAACTCCCGCCTGAGAGGTCCCCAAAAAATGTTAGGAGGAAGAGGCTACCGCCTGAGAGGTCCCCCAACAACGCGAAGAGGAAGAGGCTCCCGCCTGAGAGGTCCCCCAAAAACGCGAAGAGGAAGAGGCTCCCGCCTGAGAGGTCCCCAAAAAACTCTCTGTGGAGGAGGTTCCCGCCTGAGAGGTCCCCAAAAAACTCTCTTGGGAGGAGGCTCCCGCCTGAGAGGTCCCCCCCAAAAACCAAACAGGAAGAGGCTCCCGCCTGAGAGGTCCTCAAAAAACCCAAAGAAACCCAAACACCATGCCTCTCATCCTCCTTGTAACTGTCCCCAAAAAACAAAAAACCCAAAGTTCCAGAGGAGATGGCTGCCCTTGTCACCGCAGCTGTGGCATCGGCGTCGGGTCTCCTCCGGAACTTTTTTTTTTTTGTTTTGTTTTGTTTTTTGGGACAGTTGCAGGGATGAGAGGCATGGTGTTTGGGTTTCTTTGGGTTTTTTGGGGGGCCTCTCAGGCGGGAACCTCCATCTGTTTGGGTTTTTTGGGGACCTCTCAGGCGGGGGCCTCCTTCTGTTTTTTTTGGACCTCTCAGGCAGGAGCCTCATCTTGTTTGGTTTTTTTTGGGGACCTCTCAGGTGGGAGCCTCCTCCTGTTTGGGTTTTTTTTGACCTCTCAGGCGGGAACCTTGTCTGGTTTGGGTTTTATGGGACCCTTCAGGCGGGAGCCTCCTCTTGTTTTTTGGGGACCTCTCAGGTGGGAGCCTCCTCACAATGAGTTGTTTGGCAACCTCTCAGGCGGGAGCCGGCGTTGATGGTAATGGAGCTGCCATCCAAGAGGGGGAATCCAAGAGAAGGGGGAGGAGGTGGAGGAGGAGGAGGAGGAGGAGGGGAGGGAAAATGATGATGCTGAGGAGGATGCGGAGGCGGATGCGGATGCGGATGCGGAGGAGGAGGAAGAGGAGGAGGAGGAGGAGGAGGAGGAAGGAGGAGGAGGAGGATGAGGAGGAAGAGGACGGGAAGGAGGAGGAGGAGGAGGAGGATCTGTTAAAATGAAGGAGTGTATCTGGGGTATCAGCCTTTTGTGATGTTTTCCTATAGAATCATTTTGTGATGCTTTCCAACGGATTCCTTTTGTGATGCTTTCCAGTGGAATTTCTTTGTGAGGCTTTCCAATAGACTCCTTTTGTGATGCTTTCCAATAGAATTCCTTTTGTGAGGCTTTCCAATCGAATCCTTTTGTGATGCTTTCCAAAGGATTCCTTTTGTGAGGCTTTCCAATCGAATTCCTCTGTGGTGCTTTCCAAAGGATTCACTTTGCGATGTTTTCCATAGAATCCTTTTGTTATGCTTTCCAAAGGAATCCTTTAGTGATGCTTTCCAATAGAATTCCTTTTGTGAGACTTTCCGATCAAATCCCTTTGTGGTGCTTTCCACAGGATTCCTTTTGTGAGGCTTTCAATCGGATCCCTTTGTGGTGCTTTCCAAACGATTCCTTTTGCGAGGCTTTCCAATCGAATCCCTTTGTGGTGCTTTCCAAAGGATTCCTTTTGTGAGGCTTTCCAATCGGATCCCTTTGTGGTGCTTTCCAAAGGATTCCCTTTGTGAGGCTTTCCAATAGAATCCCTGTGTGAGGCTTTCCAATCGAATCCCTGTGTGGTGTTTTCCAAAGGATTCCTTTTTTTCGGGGCTTTCCAGTCGAATCTTTTTGTTGTGCTTTCCAAAGGATTCCTTGTGTGAGTCTTTCCAATCGGATTTCTTTGTGGTGCTTTCAAGAGTTCCTTTTTTTTGTGAGGCTTTCCAATCGGATCCCTCTGTATGCTTTCCACAGGATTCCTTCTGTGAGGTTTTCCAATAGAATCCCCTTGTGGTGCTTTCCAACGGATTCCTATTGTGAGGCTTTCCAGTGGATCCCCTGGCTGCGCTTTCCAAAGGATTCCTGATGTGAGGCTTTCCAATGGGATCCCCTTGTGGTGCTTTCCAAAGGATTCCTTTTGTGAGGCTTTCCAATATAATCCATTGTGATGCAGAGGAGGAGGAGGTGGTGGAGGAGGAGGAGGAGGACGTTTCGTGTTCGTTATCCCTTTCTCTTTCTCTCCCCCCCATCTCTTTCTCTCCTTCTTTCTCTCTCTCTCTCCCGCTATGTCCTTTACTTTTCTCTCTGAAGGTGGGGTCCCAGGGGGGGGGGGGCTAGCATACATATATATATATACACATCGATTTGCAGCATCTCTCTCTGTATATATATATATATATATATATATATAGGTGCGACCGTATAAATGTATATGTGTGTATATATATATACGCATACAGGTATGTAAAGTCGCTTTCGCGTGTGAGTTAGAGAAGGTAGTGAGCGATGGGGGCAGCGGCGGCTGGAGATTGCTGCGCCTTGTCTCCTACAACCTATTCACTTTAGCAGCAGCGCAATACTACCAGACATAGCTTGATAATACAAGAGTGCAGATGCGATGTTATTGCAAGGCGCGCATTTGCGAGCACAGCGACAGCATCCAGTTCAGTTTTTTGCACGCATTTAAACATATGTTTGGCATGCAGGGCATGGAGCATATTCCAATCGGGCTTGTGGGGTGGCGATTGGATTACACAGAGGGCGCTTCCCGCCCGAGTTCGTGGTGCAAGTCGGCGAAGGTCAAGGAGTC